TTGTTATAATACTTTCCTTTAGCAGAGCAGGGTTTGTCCAGTATTTTATAAATGATTTCCTGCCTTGTGGGTTTTAGTTAAATACACAAATGATAACAGAGAATTGTTTAAAAATGTGCAGCTGAACTTGCGTAGTTCCAGGGTTATTGTCTCAGGTCTTAGAACCGGGGGGTATTTGGTGTGGACAGAAGAGGAGAAGAGTCTATTTTCTCCCTTTTCCTGGGTACAGGCACATTTAGAACAAGAGCAAAATTTGTCTCGTGAACCACATTTGGGATTTTAAAAAACTCTCACCGATCCAGTAACTGCAACCTCTGGGATTTCACTATAAGTTTTGCCCTGAACCTGCAGCATTTTGGCCATTATTTTGCTGCACAAAATGAGTGACCTAATTTCCTGATGAAGCCCAAATGAAGGGTTTGGATAACAAACAGATTAGATATTTGGCATCTTTACAAACACAGTTAAAAGACTGAATACACAACAGAACTTAAAACAAATAAAACTTGCTCTTGTCTCCTGGGGCCCCAGAAGTTCTCCTCCAGACAGACGTCAGACTTCTCCCAATTAGAGCCCATCAGAAAGCCATCACATAGCAATTAAAACACAAACAAACTCACCCAAAGAATCTCCCAAGGACCATTTGCCAGTACCATGCTGTGTCCAGCTCCAGAACTGACAAGGCTGGGTTTGTAAGCTTTGCAGGCATCCCAGCACTCTCCCTCTCTTATATAAGTCGCTTTATGGAGTCCCCAGTGCCTTCACTTTCACTCTCGCCCCTAATGTTCATGAGGGTCTTGTGGCATATGGTGCCAGGTAAGTGGGCCTGCCTCAGATTCTCTACCTTGTACTGCTTCCACCCACCCAGGGAGGGCCTTTGCACTCGCTGTTCTCGCTGCCTTCTCAATCTTCCTGCCCTTTTCAGCCCCCCACCTCCTACTCATTTTCAAGGTCTTGGCTTGAAATATCCCTTTTTAGGGGCACCTTCCCTGGCTTCCCAGACTAGAGCAGGGGCTTTATAACACATGCCCATTGTTCCAAACTTTCTCTGTGCAGCACTTGTCACATCTTGTCATTGAATGTTTACACTTCTATTTGGCACTGTTGGTTTCTCTTTCCGGAGAGTGAACTCCACCAGGGCAGCAAGCATGCTTGCCTCACTCATCTCTGAATGCCCAGCATGTAGCAGAGAGCCTGGCACACAGCGTGGCCCCCAGTTTGAGTGGATCAGTGAAAGACAGTGATGCTATCCTCATTTTACAGGTGAAGCAAGAGACCCAGAGAAGGAAGTCACTTCCCAAGGCCACAGCCTATTAGTGGAATTGCTGACGCTTGAACCCAGGAGTCCTGGCTCTCAGCCATTTCTTTACACTCCTGAGCTACCCAGGAGCAGGGTTTTCTTGCCACTTCTGGGGTATATCATATTGAATCCTCGTGTCCCCACTTGGTGAGGGTGTCCAAGGCCCAGATCTCAGCGGTAGCAGAACCCCCACAAGACACCCACAGCCCAAGTGAGCTTGACTCTAGCACTGCTTGGCCTGGTCCCCCTCATTCCAGGATCACTTAGCATCCTTTGAGGCAGGTCCTTGAAGGCCCTGCAATTACTCCCACTCTCCCAGGAGCCAGGAGGAGAGGGATGGGGATAATTAATGAGAGGGTGACAGGCCCGTCTTCATTACTAAGAATATCTCCCACCCTTGGAGGCATTTCCGCTGTAGGTTTAATGGTGCATTCTCTCTCAGGATCGCAAAGCTGTGCACTTGACTTCCTTGCTTAACTCTTTCAGCATCTGTGGGAAGCTGGAAGAGTGAAGGCACTAACCTGTGAGGCTGTGAGCTCCATGAGGGCAGGGCCTTTGACTGATTTGCTCACTGCCACACCTTCAGTTGTGAGAACAGCAGCAGGGACGCAGTAGACACTCAATAGATATTTGCTAAATGAATGAATGAACAGGGAGCTTCCCATGTGTCAGGAAATTACTACACCTATATCCCATAGCAACTGTTCTCGGTCCATTTTACACATTAGGCAGCCAAGGTTCAGAGAGTTAAGAGACTTGCCCAAGGTCAAAAGCTTAGTAATCAGTGGAGCCAGGATCTCCGCTGAGGCACTCTGGGTCAAATCACCAAACGGGGAAAGATTAAGATTAGGAATTCAGGCAGAGAGGCAAAGATGTGGTTTACTCTAGTGATATCCAGGTAGGGATGAGAATGGGAGGGCAGTTTCAATACTAGGAGGTGTGTTCACCAGGGAAGGAGGAGAGGAATATTGTGCAACAAATTTTCAAGCCAAGTGCAAACTCCAGGTTCCCATGGCGGTCAGGATGAAGGTATGGTGCAGGTTGCTGAGCCTCGTAACACTGGGTCCTGCAGTAGGAATCACTCAAGAACCCAGGTAACGAAGGATTGGTGTGCACAGTAAGGGGCAGGGACCTGAGTATCAGGCAGGGCCTGGGTCCCAGGGGTAAAATGGAAAGAGCCCTGAAGGGAACTGCAAGGCCAGGCCCTGCTCTGCCCCTGCATGCTCCCATTCTCACACAAGTCTCTTCCTTTCTCTGGGTCTATTTTCCCCATCTCTGCAATGAGGGTTGGCACTTTACAGTTTAGAGTGACTCTGGGATCCTTACTCCTCCAGCATCAGTTCATATAAGTAAGTAGACAGCATCTTAGAAATGGTCACTTTGTTTAACCTAACATAGGAATTCCTGCTCCAGGATTCTTAGCAGATGGCACAAGTTTCTGTTGGGTAGCTCTAGGCCAGTGGTTCTCCACTGAGGATGATTTTGAACCCCTGGGGACATGTGGCAATATCTGACACATTTTTGATTTGTCAGTGGGAAGAAGCACATGGTTGGCATCTAGTGGGTAGAGACCAAGGATGCCACCAAATACCCTACAATGCACAGGACAGCCCACAGTGTCACCAGTGCTGAGGCTGAGGAACTCGGCTGTAGGCACAGGGGGACTCATTGCATCTTGAGGGAACTCATGGCTGTGGGCATTGTGGCTAGGACAAGCTGATACTGACACACTCCCTGTAACTGCTGCCCTGGCCTTAGATCTACTTGGAGGAAGGGCCCTAATTCCTTCTCAAGATGGCTATCCAATCACAGCGACTCCACCAATGACATTCACCTGTGGAGGGAGTACGCATGGGCCAGTGTCAGGGCTGGGGGACCAGTGCCAGGAGCACAGGACCTTAGGGAGGAGGCCAACAACTCTCATACAAGCTGGAGGGGACTGGGGCAGACAGAGGGCTGTGGGGATGTGGGGACAGGGGACTGTGTTAAATTGTGGGTGGGGTTGGGGGAATCTTGGGTGTCTGTGAAGCATGTAGTGACTGAACTGGGTCTCAAATGACAGGATTTCCAAAGAAGGGCACAGGAAGACAAGAGAAAGGACCATGAGTTCATTTCAAGGCCAAACAAAGTCTTGCCACAAGGCCCAGTCCATCCACCCTGCTCGCCTCCCAGCTGCATCTCACCTCCATCTGCACCCCAGCCACACAGGCTCTGCTCGCTCTCATGCACTCGCCATTTCTTCACCCACCTCAGAGTCTTGCAAGCTCTGTCCTCTCAGTTTGGTGCATCGTATTCTGCATTTTGTTCAGTGCTACAGTCTGGATGTTTGTGTGTCCCCCACATCCATATGCCAAAATTCTAACCCCCAAGGTGATAGTCTTAGGAGGTGGGGCTTTTTGGGAGGTGATCAGGTCATGGGATCAGTGCCCTTATAAAAGAGGCCCCAGAGGGCTGCCTTTTCCCTTCCATCATGTGCGGACACAGAGAGAAGGTGCCATCTCTGAGAAAGTGGGCCCACATCAGACACCAAATCTATTGGACCCTTGGTCATGGACTTCCCAGCTTCCAGAACTGTGAGAAATAGATTTCTGCTTATAAGCTGCCCTGTCTGTATCTCAGTCTGCTCAGGTTATAACAGCCCCAATGAACTACAATACCACTTAACGCTTGCTCATGGTCTGGATCTCTGCTCCTGGCCCTTCTTCAGGGAGCCCTCCTGGATACTCCTCCTACCCCTTTACGTGCTCTCAAAGCCCCACACTTCTCTCCTCCATAACACTTATCATGGCTGACGTTTATTTGTGTGATTATAGATTAATGCCCATCTCCTTCAGGGGACTGTAGGGCTGGGTGAGCCTCACCACGGATGCTGGCACAGAGCCTGCACATGGCAGGGCTCAAGGAACAGTCGCTGAGTGGATGAATAAACCATCAAAAGTTGGCTTTGGCAGCTTAGGTGTTGGGTATGTTCAAGGCTACAAAGGAAGCCTGGGACCTCGGCAAGATTTTAAATGCTAGGCTGAAGTGTTTGTAGCTAAATAGGCAGACAGACAGGGAGGGGCCCCAAAGAGCAGGGCAGTGCCAAGAGCACATGATGCCCTGGGATGGTGGCCTGGGCGGAGGGTAGAGGGCTGAGCAGAATCTGGAGACTAATTAGGAGACTGTTGTAAGAATCCTGGGGTAAGAGGGCTGGGAAGCAGCAGAGGGAAAGCAGCTCTGGTTAGCTTTGTGGGGACGACTGACACTCCTCATTCCTCTGTGCATTCTAAGAGTCCCTGGGAAGCCCCGAGCAGCAGCCTGGCATGATGCTGTGAGATGTGGGGAGAAGGAGGTGGAGTAGAGGCTGTGATGCTATAGACACTTCGCAACCCAGGCATCCCTCTGAGGTTCTCTGACCCCTTGGCCCTGTGCAGCTCAGCTTTCCACCCCCAGGCAGAGCCAGGAGAGTCTGCTCAGAGCACTGCCAGGAAAGCAGGCCAGCTGGGCAGCGGGTGGAGGTGCACAGAGACGGAAGGCAGATTACATGTCACTTCGTATTAGCCACACCGGCAACCTTCCCGATCCACCCAGAGAGGGGCCAATTAATTGCAATTCTGAGGACGAGCCAAAAGCCAAGATAACACTGAACCTGAAGGAGACTGCATCTCCTTTCCAGTCATGAGCAGATCGGAAGGCCTTACAGAGGGTCAGGTTTGCTTACCTGTGAGGTACATCTCCTCTCCTTCGGTGAACATCTGGTGGCAGCGTACACACCTGGCACAGGTTGGGTGGTAGTGCTTCCCTCCTGCCTATGGAAATGAAGAGATGAAGCAGGAGGTGAGAGCCAGGGCTGCTGTCTAGTGGGGCAGATTGGGTTTCAATCTTTCCTGGGTACATTAGTGTTGTTTGCATCTTCATGGCCCTAAAGTTGGTTGGAGTTACCCAGGGGAGTCCACAACCATCTAAAAGCCCAGCCAGGAAGCTTCCTGATTCACTCCATGGGTCCCTGATGGCAGTTCAGGGGACTTCCCTGAATACCTGCTCTTTTATTCTGACACTGGGAAGGACCCTTCAGAGGCCACTGGTCCAACCTCCTCATTTCCAGAGGAGGAAACAGGCTTGCTTTGAAGACATTCCAGCATTTCCCCAAGTGAGGGGCCCTTAACACCAATGTTACATGAAATGATTTTAAGTGGTACATGAACTTGGGATTTAATAACATTGGATCAATGGAAAAAAAAAAAGATCCTTTCAGTCCTCTATACATTCTTCTGATTTTGTCAATGAGGAAGTACCAGTTCGGTGCTCATGTGTCTTTAACATCTATCCAAAACTCACAAATCTGCCTTTTAAAGAATGAGAACAGGTGTGAGGCTTGGAACCTCCTCGTGCAGTAGAATCCAGCTAGAACTCTATTTTCAGGTTATATGCAATATGGCAAGTGATACTGGCTTTCCTGTTATGTCGTGTATAAGTTTTCTTACATATAAGGGGGCCAACTTCAAGACAACTTAAAGTATTATGGAAGAATGAGCACATGAGGCTCACAGGCATGGCAAAAATTGTGAGACTGGCACACAAAAGACAGATTTTTAGAGCTCAGTGGGTGATTTAGGACCCACTGTAGAACCCCCAGATCCCCAGGCCAGTCCTGTGAGTCTTGCACCTGGGTGTGTCCAGCCCTACCCCAGCTCACCCCAGTGTGGCTTTGGTGAGTGCCTTTCCCTATTTTCACTTTCCTTCCCCATCACTATTTAAATTAAAAATAAAAATAATTTGCAGCTGCAAAGACTTCCATGAGGGGAAGAAACAGCCCCTGAGAAGGGTGTGCCTCAAGGGTTCACCGCAAGCCAGCAGCATGTTGGGTCCGGATCTGTGTGAGCCAGTCACCAGCTCAGTACTCGCTTCTGGAGTCACAGTTCTGACACCAAAATCCCAGCCAAGAGGGCTTGTTGTAAAAGGGACCTTGAGTGGCGGCTCCAGCATTTGTATATGCAGGGGCTTGGTGCAGCAATTGGGCTGGCAGGTGGGCCTTGTTTGAAGAAATATTTTGCAACATCAGGGCAGGGTTTTCTTTGTGGGAGGGTAATGCCCAGGGGAAACTGATGGATGTTAGGGGTTCTTAAAGGTCCCTGTCCAAGCCGTCACTTGATGTGATGCTAATGGGTTCCTTCCAATTCAAAAATTATAACTGCATAATAAGAAGACCTATTTCCAAAGTTAGGTTTTTTTTTTTTTTGCTTTTTTTTTTTTTAATGTGGGGGCAGTGGAAGATTGTTGAGACGGGCTTGCCTATTCTGGAGATATTCTCTCTATTCTAAAAACTTAGCAAGAATGTGGGAAGGCAGATTTTTACAAAAAGAAAAAAATCTCCAATATTCCTTCTTTCCCCCCGTTTGTTTATATGGCCTCGCACCAGTGAGACAGTGTCCTTGTCATCATCAAAGCAAATATGTTCAAACTTTGGAAGGAGCCTGCTATTTTCCCAAGCTGGAATGTGTGGGACTGATTCCCTTGTACCATGACAAGGATAATCGGTTTAATTAGCAGCCTCTTCCTACTCTGTGTCTCTTTATCATTTCGATTATAGACCTGTTTTCCAGTGTGGCAACAGCGCCTTGGCAAAACTGAAGCCTAGCATTTTCCTAAATGTCATGCCCCACTACCTCGCCCCAGCTGAAAGAGGCTTCATGCCCATCTCAGCACCCCCAGTCTTGGATGGTGCTGAAAACAGTTTGAGCAAAGGGAGGTTAGGGCAGCCAGCACCCAGAGTAAGTAAAAACCACGTCAGCTAGCTGAGATGAGCCATTTTGTCTATTAGTGAACTGTAATCAGGAAAATAGTAAAGAAAAATGGCAAAAAATTGGTACCTCAAAACAGAGCCCTATTTGAGAGGACTGAAAATGGCAAACCAGGTTCAAAAATATAGCAACAAGTAACAGGTTGTGGTCCTTTTTGGTGAGGAAACAGACAAGTATGGAAGAGTGACAATGACAGTCATTGAGCTCTGTCACTGAGGAAGGGACCATGGGGTGGCCTAGGGAGGAAATGGGAAGGGACAGGATGAGAAGAGAAGGAGAAACAATTTAATTGAATGCCTGCAGTGTGCCAGACGATGTGCTGGGCTCTACCTTAGGCCACTGTTGTTCCTGCATGGCCATCATTCTTTCCTTCTTCTTCCAGAAACAGTCCCAAGCCTTTCCTTGGTGGGGCTACCTCTCCTCCATATCAGTCCACAGGGTTAAGTAGTGCTGACCTCACCAATGAGCATATTCCAACTTTGTGGGCACAGTTAGCCGTCCAGGGATGGGCCTGAGATTGTCCAATGAGAGTTAGTTCCAGAATGCTTGCTGAGCTATTAGAAAAGAGAAGCTCTTTTTTCCATTGGGGATGCCGGCTGATAGAATCTAAGCCTGGGGCAACTGGTGTCCAACTTTCCTATCACCAAGAAGAACCTCCTGAGAATAAACTCAACCTGGAAGAAAGTAAGCCAAGATGGCTGGGGATTCTAAATGATTTTCCTTAAGCACTGGATCCAGCTCCTGGGCTTTTTGTTATGGGAGCTGAGAAACTTCCTTTCTGTTGCAGCCCAAAAAGTCTTGACTAACATGTTCATTAGGAATTAAATGACAGTAGTATTGTCTATTGATAGATACAGACTAAGAGGACGTATCTTGCTTAAGGCTTCGGAGCTAGAAGTGGTAAAATCTGAATCCAAGTCTGTTTTACTGCAGCCATGTCTATTTCCTGACATCATGCTAACTCGAAGACCCACGAGTGGGGCTGAGAGCTGTGGGTATCAGTGTGGATATAGCAGCCTGGAGTCCTAGATTTTAGCTCTGTCTCTACCAGCAGTGCTGCCTGTGACCTTGGAAAAACACTGCATGTCTTGGTCTCACTTTTCTCATCTGTAAAATGAAGAGGTTGAAGTAGTTGATTGCTAAAAGTCTCTTCCAGCTCTAAGAAAAAAAAATCAATAAATTCAAGATGCTAATGGAGCCCTGTAGAAATGGAATCAATCGAAACTCAGTCACAAGAGCTGCCTGGGAGGAACAGTCTACCACAACGCTAAACAACAGTAACTCTCGGGGAAACGGCAGCCGCCACCAACAGGATTTCAAAGCAGCTTGGAAATGCTGAACAAATTCCCATCTGCGGCCCCATCTGTAATCTAAGTTCTTTCTTTCTGGAAAGAAAAGTTTCCTTTTGTGCTATTTCCCACTCCATTGACCCTTCAACCTACTACACTCTGGATGCCTCTTCCCTACAGTTCTGCAAAGCCAACAAACGACTCTTCTGAAGGTGACCTTTCCCACATCCAACAGCTTTTCCGCAGCCCGCGCAGTCCTTCGCTGCTCTGCAGAGTTTGACCAACACTCTGACCTCGCCATGTTTTCTGAAGCTCCGTCCTTTCACTGAATCCCTGATTCTCCTCCTATATCTTCCTCTGCTACCTCCTCAGTCTCTTTTTGAGTAGCTTTCACTGTAAGCAGCTGCTCACCAAGGTTGGTGTCAGCATCCTTCCTTGCTCTCTTTCCTCTGTCTTGGAAATCCTGAGTGGTGCTATTATTCAAAGCCTCGTGTTTATAAGATTGGCTCCTCCAGGCTGAGCTTTGTTCCTGAGCTCTGATACATGTTTCTTTTCTTTTCTCATTTTTCTTGCCTCGGACAGGATCTTGCTCTGTTGTCCAGGCTGGAGTGTAGTGATGCAATCTCAACTCACTGCAACCTCCACCTCTCAGGCTCAAGGGATCCTCCGGAATGGCTAGGACTACAAGCGTGCACCACCACGCCTGGTTAATTTTCTTTGTTTTTTGTAGAGATGAAGTCTCACTATGTTGCCTAGGCTGGTCTTGAACTCCTGGACTCAAGTGATTATCCTATCTTGGTATCCCAAAGTGCTGGGATTACAGGCTTGAGCCACCGCTCTCAGCCTCTGATCCGTATTTCTTTTTTTTTTTTTTTTTTGAGACGGAGTCTCGCTCTGCCGCCCAGGCTGGAGCGCAGTGGCCGGATCTCAGCTCACTGCAAGCTCCGCCTCCCGGGTTTACGCCATTCCCCTGCCTCAGCCTCCCGAGTAGCTGGGACTACAGGCGCCCGCCACCTCGCCCGGCTAGTTTTTTGTATTTTATTTTTTAGTAGAGACGGGGTTTCACCGTGTCAGCCAGGATGGTCTCGATCTCCTGACCTCGTGATCCGCCCGTCTCGGCCTCCCAAAGTGCTGGGATTACAGGCGTGAGCCACCGTGCCCGGCCTCTGATCCGTGTTTCTGACTGCCTTCTGGAAATACTCCTGGGACTTCAATCACAACCCATCCTAAATGGTACTTGCCATGTTTCTGCCAGATCAGCTTTTTCCCCTGTCGTCCCCAGTTCTGCCAATGACACCAGACTTCCTATCCCTCAAAAATAGGTAATTCTTTGGTGCAACTTTTAGCTGCTTCTCCTTCAATCCTCATGTCTGCAAGCTGCCCCTCGGTTGCAGAGTGATTGGAATTCTACTTCCATAGGGCTGGGCACAAGCGTGGCTTCCCTCTTCATTGCTACTGTACCTCTTGAGTCCTTCCTGCCTGGGTCATGCAGGGGCCTCCTCACTCATCCCTTCCAGCTTCCTTCCTTCAAATGTAGCCTGTGTACATTATCACGTCATCCTCCCGGAAGCCCAGCTCTAACCAGGACGTTCCTGCCCAGTCTCTCCACAATGCTCCCTTGCCCAGTGAGTCACATGTGAACTCCACCCTGGTATCCCGGGCCCTCAGAAACCCACCCCCAACAACCCTTCCTGGACTCATGCCTCGTCCTCTGCACCGCACTCCTTACGGCTCTCTGGAGATGCTTAAATGTTTCCCAGCACTGTTCATTTGTTTATATCTCATTGTCTCTGACTCTCTCCGTCAATTCTCCACATAGTAACCAGAGGACTCTTTTTAAAAACATGATCTTATCATGTTAGTCCTTGGTTTAAAACTCTCCAATGGCTTTTCATTGCATGCAGTATAAAACCCAAACTTCTAAACATGGTCCACAAAGTCCTACATGGTATGCCATATATGATATACTCCTGTATTTCATCCTCCGCTACCCTCAATTTGTAGAATTCAGCCACACTGGCAGACTGGGTCAGCTATTGTGAGCAGAATCATGAATTCAGCCAAATCTGGACACTTGGTCGTGGTTACCATGAGTGCTGTGTTGAGAAAAATCCTGCAGCCACAACTCTGTGTGGGTTCTCTGTTTTTGAACGGGTCAAGCTCATTCTTCCTCTCTCTCTTCCCACCTCAGGCCCCTTCAGGGATGGCTTTCATCCTCAGGGCTCTGCTTCAATGCACGCCCTCAGAGAGTTCCTTCCTGGTTGCTACATCCCCTTCTGCTGAGTCCACATGTGGCGGCAGAATTGTTCTCAACAAAGCACTCATGGTAACCACAACCAACTGGCCAGATTTGGCAGAATGAATGATTCTACTTACAATACCTGATCCAATCTGATCCTCTAGCTATTGTTAGATGGAAAAACTGAGGCCTAGAAGAGCAAAGATACTTACTCAAAATCCAAGCAGGAGTTAGCAGTAGAATCAATATTAGAGCTCAATTATTCCTGTTAGGCTATTATTTTTCCTTTCCACTGAGCTCTTCCCTGTTTCTAATTCATCAAGGTGGGTGGTCCCAAAGCATAGGAAGATAGCTTCTAGACCCACAGGGTATAGGAAGAAAGGCCAGAAAGACCAGTGCACAGGGGCTCAGCAGGGCCTCAGCAAGGGTGTTGCAGGTTGTCTGTCACTGCAGAAGGAGTCATACACTGAAGGCTGGGGAGAGGCGTTGCCATGGTGATGGACCCGCCAAAGAAGGGCTTAGGGAGCAAGCTGCTAGACAAGCTGACTCTTAAATCAGCACATTACCAAATACTAAAAAAAAAAAAAAAAAAAAAAAAAAAAAAACATAAAAAAGATTTCCATCCTCCGGCAGGGCTGGGAAGAAAATCCTAAAGTCACTCTCTCGAAATCTGTCTGGGTTCGAATCAAAGATACAACTGATTTTCCCAGCACACTATTTTTTGAACCAGGAAGAATTTTGTCCACCTTCTCATTTTGGGGTTTCCCAGAGATCTCAGCAAGGTTATCTGCTGAAGGTCATGTAGCAAGCAAAGGTGGAGGAGGTAGAGGCTATAGAAAAAAAGGTGTGGGGTGACTTTCTCCTTCTTCTGTGATGACTTTTTGGAGGCACAGGTCACCCTGCCACATCTTCACGGTTACTTATACCCACTCACCTCCAAGACTCTGCCACTGATGTATCGGTCACAAGTCTCACATTTAATGCCAAACTGGGCGTGGTAGTCAGACTCGCAGTATGGAACACCATCCCTGCAAGAAGAAGTTCACACAGGATGAGGAAGCTAGAGAGGATCAGTGAGGGTGTGCATGGCAGTTAGATTCAGGACCTGCAGCCTGTGGTGACTGAGCCAAAGTTCGATGCTCCTCCTTTAATAAACAATTTCATCTGTATGAAAGAATCATCTGACTGTGCTCCCAGATCAGTGTATGACAGGAAGCCTCCTGGGACCACCTCCCGTGTGCTCCATTTTTACCCAATGCTTATCACTTGGCGGACAGTGATAAGATTGTTATCTCTTATTCTTATACTACCCCCTATAACTAATAGCCACTAACATTTCTTGCTGGTGTGTGCCGGGCTCTTTGATGGTGTTTGACGAACAACACTTTGAGTCAGAATTATTAGTATCCCCATTGTGTAGGTGAGAAAACCCAAGCATAGAACACTTTAGTAACTTGTCCCAGGCCACCCAGGATGACCTAGAGCTGGGATTCAAACCCAGGTGGTCTGGTTTCTCACCCAGGTTGTCATGAGGATTAAAGAAGATGGGTCCGGTGTACCCTAGGGCTCAGGACAGTGCCTAGCCATACTGAGTACTCAGCAAATGGCAGCTGGAGGTCGCCATGATTGCTGAGAGGGGGTCTTTGAGGAGGACATTTGGTTCTCAATTCTCTAGGACTGATGTAGAGATAATTGGGGGCATCGGAGAGCTTAGCTTAGATTCTGGGCCCTGCCTCGCTCTAATGACCGAGTCTAAACTCTGAGGAGAGAGAAACATTTCTTTCACTTTTGGGTGTAAGAGAACTTGGCTCAGACACTGAGAGACCTAAAGGAGAGGCACATCACTTTTCCATCTCGAAGCTGTTGCCCTGTTGAGGTTGCTGGGGGTCCACCCTGACAGAAGCAGCAGTGAGGACTCCTATCTGACCAAGGTCTGGAGGTGTGACTGTGCCCACAAGGCAAGGACTTGTTTGTGAGCCCTTGAGACAAACCTCCCCCAACCCTTTCAATTCCTCCCCCGCTCAATCAGGTTCTCACTCTGTGGGTGCGGGAGGATAGCTCTGCAGGGAGAAAAAGTCATTTGTTAGAAGGTGGATGTGACGAGCCAACAAGATTTGAGTACAAATGCCAACACAATCTCTTTTGGATCCATTGTTGGTGAGGCCTTGGGGAATTAGCAATACACAATTCTAAAAGAGGATGGTAAAATGAGTATTTACTGGGCACTTATTGGGTGCTAAGCACAGATCTCTGAGCCCTTACACAACCCTTTGGGTAGATTATCTTCTCTCTATTTTTATAAATGAGGAAACTGAGACTCTGAGCAGTGGAGTCCCTTGCCAAGGTCACACAGGCTGGGCTTCTACCCTCGGCATCTGATGCCTGAGCCAGTGCCTCTGAGTCCCCTGCCACTCTGCCAGCAGCCAGGTAAGGGGCCCAGAGCTAGGCTGTAGAGATACCAGGTGTGGTAGGCAATCTGGGCTGGGCCTCCTTGAGAGGAGCTCTGAACAATCCCTTAAGTCCCTAGAGAATTCTGATTTAGGATTCCAGACTTAAGCACTCCTGGCCAGCAACGTACTAAAGGCACTCCTTGCTTGGCAAGCATAGAGGGGAATGTCAAACTCCTGCTAGCATGGCATCGAGAGCTCTTGGTGATGTGACCTCAGCTCACCTATGCAGCCCAGGATCCAGCTTCACCTGGGCACATATTTGAGCTCCTATACAGGATGGAGATGTCCAACATCCACCTACCACCCTGGCCTTGCCCAGGCTGGCCATTCTGCCTAGAAAGTCTCCTTCTTTGCATTTTTGAGTCTTACCCCCACCTTCCACGGAGCTCTCAGAGATTCAAGATTCTACTTCATGCTAGTTAGTAGTCATCTCTTTTTTCTCTGAATATTCACAGCCCTTTACTTGTTATCTTGGACACAGGCAGGTGTTGTTTGGCCAGCATCCATTTCCCCTTCTGCTGGTAATAGTACCTCACCTGGATTTCGCTTTGGAAGCCACCCCTTCCCAGTTGAGGTCCCTGTGGGTCACCAGGGGCTGCTCTCTGGCTCTAGGGTTCAGATCCTCTGGGTCAGTGATTGGTCAGGAATGGGTATGTGACCTAACAGTGGCCAAATCAGAGGCAGCCCTGGGACGTTTGCTGGAGTTCCTGGGAAGGAGGCCTCGTCCTCTGCTAGGCTTGGTATGAAAGCCTGGAGTGTTGGCAATCTTCTTTGCTAGCACTTGGGGAGGGCCAGGTTGAGAACTAATCCACCATGAAGACAGCAGAGAAAGACAGGGACAGAGAGAGAGAGAGAGAGAAAGAGAAAGAGAGAGAGAGAGAGAGAGAGAGAGAGAGAGAGAGAAAAAGATAGAGAAAGACAGAGACTTCTGAAGTACTAATGACATCCTTAAGCCCCTGGATTCCTCCATGCCTGAAGCCAGTGTGCCTCTGGCCTTCCCATATCTGTGAGTTAATAAACTCCTATTTTTGCTTTTAATTGAGTTGGAGTTGGGTTTTCTGTCGCTTAGGATCAAAAAGGTCTTAAAGAATAAAGCTTGTCTGGGCTCCTGATCACACATTCCCTGGTGTCATAATTCTTCATGAATGCAGCATATGTTTCCTGTATTAGAATACAGCGTCTTGACAGGAGAAGCATGTGCATTGCAGCTCTGTGTGCTTGCCACTGCCTGGCATCAGGCCAGAGAGTGGCATCTAGAAGCGTCTGGGGTCATGTGGTATCAAAGCTATGACAAAGGGTCTGTGCTGATAATTGCTTTTAGGTACTTGAGTATATAAAGGTGGTCCCTGGGGCCTAGCAACAAGGGGACGCTTGTCTAATACTGCAGTGTGTGGGTCACTGGAGGTTGGCCTTTCTGGATACCTGTGCACCCATCACCTCCTCTCATTTCCATTAAATTCATTCAGCAACTATGTTACTGACTGTGGGTCAGGCGTGGCTCTCAGGGCAGGGGATATAGCAGTGATTAAAACAAAGCCCCTGTCCTGGTGGGGACAGAGATTAAACACTATTATTGGAGCAAGTTATTTACTCTCTCAAGTCTAAGTACTCAGGGGGGATAAATTCCTCAAAGGGGCAGTTATGAGGATTTAAAGTGATACAAAGTAGTGAGTTCCTTCTCCATAATTAAAGCACAATAAATGGTAGGTAGTATTACTAGCATTATTACAAAGTTACCAGGGATAAATATGTAATTATCAACGGTGGCAGCCTGTGTGAAGGAAACAAACAAGGTACTCTGAGGGCCCAAAATGGGGCAGTAAATGAGAGATGGCCGGAGGAGAAGGCATGGGGACCGAGACCAGAAGGGAGAGAAGGGCCAGCAGGTGTGTGAGGAACAGGGAGGGTGTCTCGGGTAGAGGGAACACCCTTGGGAGGGTCCAACAGGGGAAAGAGGCTGCTGGGAAAGATGCCGTTTGGCCAGAGTGCAGCAGCAGATGGAAAGGAAGGGAGATGATGCTGGAGGTGGGCACGGGACCGATGGGGCAGGCCCCACAGAATGCAGATGCCCAGGCAGCTGGGGCAGGAGCGGGGGGACCCACTTGCTGATGTACTCCCCGGTGAGGATGACGCTGCAGGTCTGGCACTTGAAGCAGCTGACGTGCCACTGCTTGTCCAGAGCCAGGAGTGACTGGCCATGTTTGATCTCCTCCTTGCACCCGGCACAGTCTGCAGAGACAAGAGGACACTGCTGAGCAAAGCACCCTGGGCCCTTTGACCCCTGCTATCTCAGGCTCACGTTGAGGAAACCCCTCCCTGAATGCCAGTGTTCCCATAGTTGCTCCCACCCTGACACTGGCAGCTGCCCAGAGGCTCTCCCAGGGGAGAGGAAAGGCCACTGGAGCCCTGGCCTCTTGACAAGGGGTCTTGGTGTAGGGGAGAAAGAAAGACCTCCCTGCTTGTCATCAAGACCACATTGTTCACTGAAAGTGGACCCTGCGCTGCTTCCAGCCCTCCTCAAATTGCTAACTAAGCTCCGCTGCTGTCCATGACCTTGCCATCTGCAGTGTCAGCATCACCTGGAAGCTGACGGTGTGCAGCATCGCAGGCCCCACCCAGACCTCTTGAATTTTAACAAGACCTCCATGCAGAGTGAAGTTTAAGAAGCACTGCTCCTGGGGTTGGGCTAAGTATACATTTTTTCAAACTCTTAGGCTATATACTCAATGGCAAGGGCAGTGTTTATATTTTGTGGTTAAATCTATTCCTTTGCCTAGCACAGTGCTCAGCCCGTAACAGGAACTCAAAGCATATTTACTGAATGTGTATGAATGAATGGGCCTGATGGTACCCAGGCAACAAAGAGAATTTCCACGCCCACCCCTTCCCCATTGTGCTTCACACATTGAACATGTGCCTTCCCAGGTGGCAAGGATTATAGGGCCTGATAAGACTATCCCAAACCAGAAAGGTGCTCTCACTCCCTGTCATGGTCACCCTGGAATGTGAGTTGGGGCCAACAGAATGTGGGCCAAGCCTAGCATCAGCTTGTTGCTCAATGAATGCCTGGAGAGGGTCCGGAAATGGAGTCAACAACCAAGGCACTTGGCAACTGCTGGGAATTCGGGCCTAGCCAACTGGATGACCCACTTTGGAGGAGGAAAGGGTCATGGGGCAAAGTTGACCAGAGGAAAAACTTCTCTGTTGGCTCCATAAGACAAATGCACACTTGGGAGTAGTGAGGAGAGCAGAAACTGCATGTAAAGTTAGGGGATGCTGGCTGGACAGCCCCCACATCCAGCTGGGAGACTGTCCTAGAAGAAAAGATGATGTGTCTGCAAATCTAGGAAGGGTGGTGGGTCCAGCCAGCTGTGCGGAGGGTCTGGGGCCCTGATGAAGTGTTTGTATGAGTCAGTTCCCACAGTACTCCGCCTCTTGGCTGTTGCATGCCTTTCTAACATCCCTTAGTACAAGTTGGGGGCAGAAAGGTCTCTACTTGCAAAACGCTTCAAGCCCCAGGCCTTCAGATGGGGGTTGGGAGAAGAAAGAGTTTTGGGATTTATCTCTCTTCCTTTCTATTCTCCTGGCGTAAGTCTATAAGTCTATTTGCACCCCCTGCCCAATAATTAGACTCCAGAATGCAATAGCTTAGAGAGGTCAGGTACCCCCTTGTCTTTTACAGATAGACAGGGATCTGAAATGACTTGTCCATGCTCAGTATAGATGAACCCAAGGACTGTAGACACCTGGTCAAGCTTTCTAGGCCACTAATACTGAACTTGTATCTCTGTGGGCCTCCCCAACAGGGCCTCAACATTCCACGGGGGTTCGGAGCTCACAGAGTATTCGGTCAAATATCCCACTCAATGCAGTAACCTACAGCATTCTTGACAAGTGGGCACTCCTCCTCTGCTTAATCACCTCCAGTAGTGGGCAGTTTAACCCCTCCTGAGGAAGGAGTGGTGAGGAAGTCCACTCTGCCCTTGGACAGGTATGATTGTCATGACTGTCTTCTTTATATGGAGCCGAGACTTGACTCCTGTGACTGCTCCCATTCTTATGCATCAAGAATAATCTACCTCTTTTCCCATATGACAGTCCTTTCAAAGAATTAAAGACAACTATAGTTTCTCTCTTCTTTATTCCTTACACTTTTTCTTGCTTGACAAGGTCATCCACTGATCAAATTCACTTGTGGATTCCACGGAGAAAGACGTGTTATTGGCAAACAACACAATTCTCCATTTCTTCAAAAAAAACTTATTGCATAGCTGGATCCTTTCATGGCTACATTCTAGTAATGAAAATGAATCCTATCTCTTCAACTTTCAGTGGTACATCTGAGATGAATTTAGCCCCTTGAGTTAAGCTGTAGGAGATAGTACAGCACAGTGGTTAGAGGCTGGGTTGAGAGTTGGAGTGAGTGGTGGGAAGTTGGCCTAGGAGAGAATCCCAGCTCCTTCCCTTATGAATTGTGTGGTCTCTAAGCCCAGACTTACTCATCTGAATATCTTCCTTAAAACACTGGTGTGAAGGTTAACTAAAATCAGGCCCGTTAGGCCTTAGCACAATGCTTGGCCCATATGTATCCAATAAGTGGTTGTTGTCATTATTATTTCATATCCTCCTGTTTTTAACCCACATTCTGTGCATTACCCAATCTCTGTTCTGAAGTCAGGAGTGATAGTCTTTTTGTAGGGAAGCCTGCTGATTCTCTGTGAGAATTCTGGGACGTCTTCTCCATGTGGCTTTTCTTTTTATGTTATACTGCTGCTCCCCCATTATATCAGCTTCTTATTTATTAGGACCTTTTCTCCCTCTTCTTCCTCCTTTTACTCTTGACCACCAGTGGAGCCTCAGGCATGCCACCAGGGAGCCCATGGGTCTGGTGTAATAAATAGAATCAGGAAAACCACACCCTGTTCCAAGTTGGTGTCTGCAGAGCCAGCTGTCCACTCCTCCATATGTTCCTCTCAATTCCAAAATTACAGTCTTCAGCTGGCAGAATGTATGATGCTACCACCTGTCCCTCACAGATCCCTCAGTTATAAACTGAGGCCTCCTAAAGACATTAGACAGTCATTTTAATCTTTTTTAGACTGTGTCATTCATTCTATTTAAATCAGCAAAAATGAGTGGGTTTTGTGAGTCATAGCAAGCTCCGTACCTTGTTTTAGGCAACTAATCCAGGAAGACTAGACACTTCCCAAGTTGCAAGTCATGTCTCTGGTACATGCAAGTCATGTCTCTGGTGTTAAGGGAATAGGATCTAAGGCCAGACTGGCTGCTCTCACATTCTAGTTCCATTATTCGTTATCTGGGTGACTTTGGGCAAGTCATTTATGCTCACTGAGTCTCAGTTTCCTCATCTATAAAATAATCACTCTTATCTCCCTCATAGGGTTGTTGTAATGATTAAATGAAATCTTCTGTAAAAAACACTTAGTGAGGTGCTTGACAATAGTAATAATCTATGTTAGTGGTGGTGATGGTGGTGGTGGTGGTATTGTTGGTGCTGACAGTGTTGGTGGTGATGATGATGACAGTGGTGATGGTGGTAATAATATTGGTGGTGATGGTGTTGATGCTGCTGGTGATGGTGATAGTGGTAATAGTGGTGATTATGCTAGTGTTGGTGATGGTGGTGGTGATTGTGTTGGTGGTGACAATGGTATTGATGGTGATGGTGGTGTTGGTCATAATGGTGATGAGGGTGGTGATGGTAGTGATGATGGTAGTGATCGTGTTGGTGGAGACACGGTGTTGGTGGTGATCGTGGTGGTGGTGTCAATGGTGTCGGTCATGATGATGGTGGTGATGGTGGAGAAGGTGATGGTGATGATGGTGGTGGTGGTGGTACTGCTGCTACTGCATCTGATTGTTCTCAATGAGGTTTTTGCAGTATTTGGCAACAGTAACAGTTAATCAGTGTTAGCAATGATGGTGGTTATTGCGGTAGTAACGATGGAGGTGGTGGTGGTGGTGGGGATGATGGTAGTGATCGCGTTGTTCGTGACAGTGTTGTTGGTGGTGATGATGGTGGTGGTATTGATGGTATTGTTCATGATGATGGTAGTGATGGTGAAGATAGTGGTGGTGATGATTGTAGTGATGATGGTAGTAGTGATGATAATGATAATGGTGGTGGTGTTAGTGATGATGATGGTGAGGGTAGTGGTGTGACAGTGATGGCAATGGCAGTGATGGTGGTGATGTTAGTGATGATGATGGTTATGGTGGTGGTGTGATGGCAATGGTGGTGATGTTAGTGATGATGGTGATGGTGGTGATATGATGGTGATGGCAGTGGTGGTGCTGTTGCTGAGACTGCTGCTGATTCTTCTCACTGAGGTCTGTGCAGTGCCTGGAAATAGTAACAGTCAATCAGTGTTTGCAATGATGATGGTTATTGTGGTGGTGGTGATGGTGATGGTGGAGTTTCTGCTGCTACTGTTGCTGATTCTTCTCAGTGAGGCTGGTGAGGAAACATTTCTTCTACCTGTGGTAACACAATTATTTTCTCTTGATAGTTCTTGAGTATTTTTCTTGGTCTCTTTGGAGTAGACACTGCTCCTGATTTTCCAAAATATTTTTATTTACTCTCCAGAGATGAAACGTCACACTTGTAGCTTAAAAAAAACCCAATTATTTTGTTCTTCTTTTCCTTTTCCATGATATGTTCTTTTTCTTAGCAATCTCTTAAACCTGGCTTTGGTTTCCTGTATCCCATGGGAGCTCAGAAGGCCTTCCAGCACCCCATCTAGTCAGGAGCTACTTTGCATTTGCAGCATGAATAGTGACCACCTTTGGAGAAAATACCTCTGTAAAACATATCACTGTAGATCCATGGATTGATGTCTTTACTTTGTGAGTAACAAGATAAGCTATAATACTAAGTATGCCCCCACTGGAAACTGCCCAGGTGCTCATTTTCTCCTCTTGACTCACTTTTTCCTCACCTTCTTCCACCTCCTAAACATCCAAATTATGGTGGACACATTTGGGAGCCTTTCTTTGAAAACGCACTCACATGTGAGACTCCCACATTCAGCTGAAGAACTATCCCACCTAACACAGTCGGTGATAGGTGCAGCACAAATGCACACAGTAACACACAACCCAAACTAGGGGAAGTAACAACCGACCCAGGAGTCTTAATCGCAATCTCTTTTGGTGTGCTTTCTATATTAAACCTCCACACCAATATCATCCCTCACTCTGTATTTATAGAGCATTTTATACACTGCAATGCATCCTAGTTTGATCCCCGAACTAATACATTTGCTTTCCCCAACACTCCCGTGAGGAAGATAGGAAATTCTATCCCTCTTTCATAACTGGGTAAACTGAGTCTCAGGGAGGCTTCGTGACTGCTTTGCAGCATGCAGAAGTTTGGCAGCCTCCCAACTCAGGCTCACTTCTCCCTCTCCTGCCTCACACATGGCCCCATCAGTCTCTGGGGTCCTCAGCACTGGCCACAGGGTCGTGGTCCCACATCCCAGCCTCCTTGTTTTTCTGTCACTCTGGATGATGCTTTCAAGGAGCTGTGAAGGATAACACTGTATGCACTCAGCCACCTTGACATGGAAACCTGGTTGGAGCAGCGATCTATTCTTGAGCATCATCAAGGACGCCAAAGGAAGGGCTGTGCACATTCTAGGAACAGATCCGATTTGGCTGAAAGGAAGAGGAGGCAAGGGAGGGAGCCTTCTCACTGTCTTTCTCCTCAGCTCACCACAGCTGGACGGACTCCAGAGAAGCCCCCGGGAGCTAAGCCCTGCTGACTCGGGGTGATCTCTGCTCACTCTCTCTGGCTGGATGCAGCCCAGCATGCTGACTCTGCCGGTACCATGGCCAACAGCACCCTGCACCCGCACAGTGATGCAGCACAGGAGGCTAATGGGTTTTCATTGATTCTCTTGTCCAGGCCAGTGAGAGTGTCATATAACATGAAAGAACACTGGAGCCTAGTGTGGCTTACCAAGACCCAGGGGGCCAGGTCTATGTGTGTGTGGGCACGTGCAGCAGCAGTCTGCCAAGGGCATCTGGGAACAATGATTTAGACATCTTATCACTAGGCACACTTGAGTGGGATGGACATCCCACAAATTAGAATGACCATTCTGAGGCGCGCTCCTGGTCCTCAGTTTCCCTCCAAATCTGTGGTTGGTGATAAAACATAACATTCATCATGGCATGACAGATGCTTCCTTTATCCCTAGATGGTGGTTCTGAATCTCAGGAACAGCAAATGAATCACCCAGGAAGCTTACTAGGAATGTTGATTCCTAGGTTCCATCCCTAGAGGTGCAGGGTGAGCCCAGACATTTGCATTTTTATAAGTCCCACAGTGAAGCTGATGCAGTGGTCTATGGGACCTTCTAAGAGGCACTAACACGGTTCTTGTGGTTTGCTCCCAGGGCACCCCATACTACCTCTTCTGTAAGCCATGTCCGCCAATGCTTATTAGTGGAGTCAGTAAAAATTCAGAGCCACTGGTGAAAAAACATTTGATCAGCCCTATTGAGGTATCCATGGGACATAAGATCAGGAACTCAGCTTGTCCCAGAGGAGACATATCATGTGGCAAATATGTGGCACTGGCTACCACTGTTTATGGCCAGGCAGCCCCTCTTCTCTGCATTGTTCTTGTGAAACTTGTGAGTCTGGGCCACATATCAACAGGGTCATGATGCAGGAGGCCTCCAGGTCGCGAACCTCTCCTACTTCCCTCCAGGCTTGTGGGAGCAGTTGGCAGTGCTGGGAAAGGGGAGCCCAGGGAGATCACACCCATGGACAGGGAGATACCCATGGGGAGGACTCACGGCTTGGTCCATGAATCTTGATGGGCTTACTGCTGGCCATGGACTGCGAGCACGTTTGGCACACACATTCTTTACCGCTGAAGGTCACCTTGTCTCCAATGGGGAAAGGCTTCCTGCAAGTGGGATGAGGGAGAAATTCAACACACCCTCTTCTGAGGGATTCTGTAGCTGACCACACATGTGCTCAAAGCACTTTGGTAACACATACAGCTTGAATTCTAGAGCACCACGCAAATTCAAATGCTGTTCACAGTGACAGGCCAACTTAACTGTTCAATTAGGGGCCTGGTGGTGAGAACTGGAGCCCAGTTGGGGTGTTTGTGTATTTTGGGCAGATCATGATGCTTATCTGAGCTTACATGTCTGGGTTGTAAGAAGCAGAGGTTACTAACTCCTCATATACTTGTTCTCTCTCCTGGAAGGACTTTTTCCATCCCAATTTGATCTATTCCCATATGTCAAGGATTCATTCAACTCCCAAACTTACCAAAATTTCTTCCTTTTCCTACTCAGGCATTTTTCAAAATCCCCCTTTCCAATAGGAAGTTTGTAAGTCTGTAAATAATCTCTTCCTCTCCTCCTCCGGATTTATTCAGTTTCCGCAGCTGAGGAGTCTCAAATTGGTACAGGCTCTGCCTCCCCAACTAAATTATGAACTGTGTACAGAATCCCGGGCACCACCACGCCCACTGTTGAGCTGCTCTCGCCCACGCAGTGGGATGCCTGTTATGAGGACTCTGAGCACAGCACCTAACATTGGCTCCCAGGGGCTCCACTGCCCTTGTATCAGCACTGTGGCACAACGGAGGGAGCACTGGGTCAAGGGTCGGGGGAGCTGTGTTCTTATCGTGGCTCAGCCACTACCTTGTGGTAGAAAGACATCGCGTGATCTTGGGGAGTCACCTCATCTCTCTGGGGCTTGACAGAAACCTCATCTTGTACCATAGGAACCCTCTATGCTAACCTCTCAGGGGTCTGGGATTCCAGGGCTCAGGGCTCAGGTTTTAAGAGCCGAGTAGATGAATGAATTCCATGAGAGGATTACGTTTTCTTACACACTCTGTCATTAGTCTCAATCAGAAACTCTAGTTATTCTAACTGGTAAGGGACTGGTGGTTATTTTGTGGGGAGAATAATTAATCTATACATTCCTTTCCCAATTAAAAAAATACATATATACTCCAATCATGCTTTACTTATGATGTAATCAGAGCTATCCATTAACATTTAATGTATTTGTGGGCAGGGCTGAGCTTTCTTCATTTTTTCATCTCCTTAATGTGTTGCTTGGCATTCAGTGAAGTCTTAATGTACACTTGCTGAATTAACAAGTGATGGAGATGCAGAGGGTGAAGCAGGAGGCAGTGATGAGCTCTCCATCCCAAGAGATGTCCCGAGAGCAGGTAGATGACTATCATCATGATAATGAAAGGAATAATAAAAACGGACACTCTCACATACTGGTCACTGAGCTAATGTCCTTGCATCATTATCTCATTAATCTTCAAGAAAACCCCGTGAGGTTGGATTGGCTTTGACCTCCATTTTACTGGTGGAGAAACTGAGGCTTACAGAGGTGGGGGTCACTTGCCAGGGTCACTCCAACAGCATGAAGTGGTGCCAGGATGATGGAGGAAGGCTATGAACAGACATCCCTGTCCCACCTGTGGATGAGGGTGTGGGAGGCTGGGCCTGATCCACAGTTTCCAAACTGAGTTCTGAGAGACTCAGTGGTTTCTTTGGGGGCCTTTTGAGAGGAATTGGGAGGCTGAGTTTGGAGGTACAGATCCTCACTCTGCCTATCACAGGACAAACCAGTGTTTTAGATCAGATTGTATTTTATAAGAAAGACTCAGATGCAACAGTGTTTGAAAACCACTGGCCCATCAGATCCCTCCACACCTGAGGTTCCAGAAATCTAAGTGCCCAGCATAAACCTTGTACACCCCAGAATTTCCTGGAAAAAGCCAGGTCTTCCCCTGCCCCGGGGGCTTATGCAGAGGGTCCCAGTCCCTGCTGGTCACCCGCTCACCTGCACAAGCTGCACACGAAGCACTTGGGGTGGTAGGTGCGGCCCAGGGCGGAGATGACTTCGCCTGTGATGAAGTCCCGGCAGCTGTCACAGCGGGTGCCATAGAGTTGCTGGTAGTCCTGGGTGCAGATGTACTCCTGGTTCTTGAAGAAGAAGCCTGACTGGGCCAGGCCACAGCCACATACTTGGGGAAACAAGGAGGAAAACAAGGAGGAAAACAACGGCAGGTTGAGTGCAGGGAGGGTCTGCAAGCAGAAGGTCCTCACTGGGGGAAATGCTGGTGTCTGACTGTGTCATGAGTGGCCACAGAATGGTAACATGTCAGACTTCACAGGCCTTTGGGGCCAGAATTCCTTAAAGAATGGCCAGTAGGCCACTAGCATCAGTATCACCCTGAGAGCTTCTTACAATCCAGATGCCTGGGCCTGAATCAGACTTCCTGGAACTGAGGCCGGGGCATCTGCATTTGAACAGCACTCCCCAACCCCACTAGGTTGACTCTGATGCACACTAAGAAGCACTGATGTGTACATTCCTCCCAACACACAAATGAAAAGTTTAAGCTGTGCAGCTCACGCAAGGCTGCACAGCTGGTGGAAATATGAATGTAATAAAAGAACCACTCAGTTAAACATTTCCTGGGTACTTCCTATGTGCATGATTCTGTGCCAGGTGAAGAGCAGTGTGGGGACCATATGCTCCAAATCCCAACCTGGAGATACTTTCGGATGGCAATGGGATGGATGGTTTGAAGTCTAGAATCTGTGCTCACCATAGCCATAAGGAGTGAGGGGTGTCTATTCCCAGGCCGGAATAATAAAACACAATCCCTGAACTTCAAAGAGCTAAAAATGCTGCAGAGAGAAGATCATATAGAAAAAAATGTCCCATATCGTTGGTGACGGGCCACAGAGCCAGTGCAAGCAGTAAGGACTGTGAATGAGGTAGAAGAAAGAAGCCTTGTCGGTTGCAAGGGATCATGGGAGGCTTTTCAGAGGAGGTAGCATCTGAGTTGAACACTAAAGGAACAGAATGAGCCAAAGCACAGAGGCAGGAAGGTGCAAGTGATATTTGATTTGTGTGAAGGCTAGACGTAGGGGTGGTGTTTGTAGGAAGTGGTGAGAAGTAATGCAGGAAAAGATTGTTCAGACCAGTTGGAGGAAGGCCTGGATCCAGTTTAAGAAGATTAGGTTTTGTAGGATACTGAGGAGCCATGGATGTTTTTTTCCCTAGTTTAGAAAAATTTAGAAAAATATCTCAAACATATATAAAAATGGGAGAAGACTGTAATAATTCTCCATCACTCAGCTGCAAAAATGATCAATTGCACTGATGGCTTTTGAACAGAGATGCAACAGGATTTTACAAGGCGTTTCATAAAGTCTCTTGGAATATTCTTTTGGATAATAGGGATAAATAAATGTAGGACAAAATAGAAAAACAAGTAGATTTTTAGGTGTTTGAACAATTGAATTATGTGAGATCCACCCTGACTTAGAAATACGAGATTTTCCTGTAAGGAGTTAAGTTGTGACATGAACGCATTATGGGCAGAGCAGAAAGATGCAAAGTTTCTTCCAAGGGAATAAATGGCTCGCAGGGCCACCAGAGCTGTAGTAACCCACTGAATGTACCGATCAGCTAAAGCAAGGATGTGCCAGCCAGGAAGGGGGCTGGTTAGCAATCAGTGGAAGGCAACTGGGGGGCCCATTTAAATCCTGTCACCAGCTCCCCTGGTTCTGAGGCTGCTGTCTGATGGACTGACTTTCCACCTAGATTGCCTCTGAGAGGCCAGGTGCTGGCCAGGCCACCATGAAACAGTCCAACTCAAGGTCACACCTCTTGTCTACATTGATGAACAGGTATTCTGGCTTTCTACATCAGTTTCCTGAGGACTTGGTTAGTACAAGTCAGCTTTCTCAAGGGTGATCAATGATGGGAAAACCAATAAGATAGTTACCAAGCCTGTAAGTCTGAAGAGTCAGCCTGGAACTGAGTGGAAACACCCCAGCAAATACTACCTCACCTTTAACAGAGAAAGTTGTTTCACAAAAGCAGCCAGGTTAAAAATAAGAGAGAGTGCCAGGTCAATGCCAGGAATATTTCATAAGTGTTTGTTCACCTCTGGGGACTGGAGGCTTAAAGGGTGAGGCTGAGTGAGGAGGAGGCAGCTTCAGAAGTCACTGCATGTGGGGAACAGCTCAGGACAGTGGGAGACACAATGGTCTGAGAGTCAGACCACCCAACCTCTGGTCTCATCACTGAGTAGAACTGCCATGCTGTAAGTCTATGAGAAGAAAAGCTTCCTTTAGGGCTTACTCTACACCTAAACATTTTAAACTCAGTGTGGAGCATTGCTTGTGACCCCTGACCCCACCCCTATGAAGAGGCAGGAGTATGGTGGAGACGGTGGTGGTGGCAGAAATCTGGGAAGGGTTCATCTTCCATCAGGCATTATGAAAATTCATCACATCAAACCATGTCTGGTCTCACGAGCAGGCAAAGCCAGAGCACAGGCTGTTCTGGGCCGTGCAGGTGGTGGAGCAATTGACTTCATGGCTGTGGAATCAATTAGGTCATGGCCTACAACCTCACTGGAAACAGCTCCTGTTTTTTCCCTTTTTTTTTTTCTCCTTTGTCTCCCTTGCCAACTCCACCCCCAGAGCCACCTCTCCCAGTGGAGAAATCCAGGCGACCGTAGGAAAACTTGGAACAATCAGTCCTCTTTTTCTCCCAAGGAACTGAAGGAGGAAGTTTTTGGTAGAAAGGATGTAAAGGTTGATAAGTCTCTCAGGGGTTCCTGGAAATACAGCAGGGAGCACAGGGATGGAAGGCAAGCTGGACCAGCATGACAGATGGATCTGAGGCTGAGTGGAGCCAGACATTCAAATAACAGGAAAGCCACGGAGAGGGTTTGCAGTACGGAACTGATGTGGAATGAATATACCTGGGGCAGTCGTTATTCTGTGAATCAAAAAAATGAAGTCTACCAATTAAAAACAGCGGACCATATGGATTAACAATGGAATGGAATATTGAACGTTAAAACTGCTTTGAGCAAATCCAGTATAAATGCTCAATGTAAATATAAGGCCCAGAAGGAGGGCTTGCACACAGCCCTGGAATGTGTCAGTGAACAATGTGCTATTTTGTAGGTTATTGGACCTTTGTCCGTGGTCCTGTTCTAGCACTCAAGTGCTGGGAGATTTTGAAAAAGTTACCCCAGCTCTCTGGAGCTCATTTGTAAGATGAAGGGGCTGGGTGGTTAACTGAGGACACACCTAGATCAGAAAGTCCAAGACTCTGTGATACAATTTTAGTGATTTTCAACTTTTCGAATGAGACTGGATTTTATGGAATTTCAAAATCCAAGAGTTAGAAGAGTCCCTGAGGGTGATCTAATTCATTATTTAGAACATTTCATTGTGAAATATACTATACATAGAGAAAATGTATAAAATATATATGTACGGTTTAAGGAATAGTAAAATAACTCCCAAGTACCCACTACTGAGTTTATGAAACAGAACACCGCCAATTCCTTAGAAGCCTCTCCTCTCCGTAAGAGCACCTCTGTCCCATACTGTCCCTAATTATGTGTTTACCATTCCCTTGCTTTACTTTATAGTTTTACACCTGTGATGTATCCATCAACAATATTTTGTTTAGTCTGACCTGTTTTTGAGCTTTATGTTGATGGAGTCATACTGCAATTGTCCCATACCTGCTTCATTCCCTCAGTATTGTGTGTTGAGATTCATCCACATCAATGCACGTAACTGCTGTTCACTCATTTTCACTGCTGTGCTGTATTCCATTGCCTGAATACATCACAGTTGGTCTACTCCACTGCTGAAGGGCATTTGAGCTACTTGCAGTTTTTTGTGGGGTAATGTCTCACTGTTTTCCAAAGAGCTTTTCCTATTTACCTTCCCACCAGCAGTTCCCACTGATATATATCATCAACAGTACTTAGTAATATCTGACATATTTGGTCAACATAGTGGATGTGAAATGATGCCATTTATAATTTTGTGATTTCAAATTTCATTTGCCTAATGATTAATGAAATTGAGAATTTTTTTCAAGTGTTAAAATACCTGCTAATGTTTTTTGCTCATTTTTTAAATTTTAGACTTGTAGAAATTCTTAATATATTTTAGAAATCAATCCTTTTTCAGTCATTTATTACAAATATCTTCTGCAATTTTGGGCTTGCTTTTTGCTCCCCTTTTCTTGTTTTTGGATGAACCAAAGTTCTCAGTTTTTATGTTGCTGAATTTGTGTATCTTTTCCTTTACGGATTGCCCTTTCTGTGTCATGTTTCAGAAATTATTCTCTACGCTGAAATCCTAAAAGATATCTCCTATATTGTCTTCTAAAAATTTTATTGAGCTGCCTTTCATAGTAAAACTGTTAATCTACCTGGAATTGACTTTAGGGAATGATATACAGTAGGGATCTGATTTTCTCCCACATGGATAATTAATCATCTCAGCATCATTTATTAAGCAGTCTAATCTTTCCCCACTGATCTGCAAAAAGCAAGTTTCCATATATATGGAAGTTTGTGTTTAGTTCTATATTCAGTTCCATTGGTCTATTGATCTCTCCTTAATCCAAGATCACATGGTCTTAATAGGTTTTAATAACAAATGATGATATCTGGTAGGACAGGCCCTCTTGCTTTGTTGCTCTTTAGGAATGCTTTGATTATGCCTGGCCTTTGTCAAGAATAGAATTTTAACTGATTTCTTAATTTCTATGGAACGCCTTACGGAATGTATTAGAATTGTTTTGAATATATAGTTCAACCAGAGTAGAACTGTCATCTTTTTGATATTTCTATCTTTCTATCAGAGAACTTAGCATATTAAAAAATTACTTAGGTCTTTAATGTCTTTCTTATGATATTCTATAAATTTAACAATTTTATAATTTTTATCTTATACAACTTTATAAAATTTATTTCTAAATTAAATTTTTTTTCTTGTTCAGGTAAATGGTGTCTTGATTGTTAATGGTGAATACAAATGCAATTTTTTTCTATATTTATTCTGTATTTAGTAACCTTAATAAACTCTTATTGACTTTCTTTTTAGTATTATTATTTCAGAATGTATCTCTAAAATATTAGGATTCTTTAAAAAAGTCAACCACAATAATCTAAAAGCATTGAAAATA